CCAGCCCACGATCAAATGTGTCTGGTTTTTTGGTGGGGTCTACCTGGTAACCCTACCAGCTGAGCCCGAGGAGCAGCGCCTGAGCCTGGTAGGCCCCCAGGGGGAACTGGAAAGCGGCCCAGAGACAGCCGACCCCGAAGCAGCTGAGGAGATGGAGGTCGGGTGGGCAGCGCGTTGCGGCTTGGATCCCCGTTGACCCACCAGCCCACGATCAAATGTGTCTGGTTTTTTGGTGGGGTCTACCTGGTAACCCTACCAGCTGAGCCCGAGGAGCAGCGCCTGAGCCTGGTAGGCCCCCAGGGGGAACTGGAAAGCGGCCCAGAGACAGCCGACCCCGAAGCAGCTGAGGAGATGGAGGTCGGGTGGGCAGCGCGTTGCGGCTTGGATCCCCGTTGACCCACAGACCTAGTTGGTGTGCTACGGCCTGGATCCCCATCGACCCAGTGGTTGCCGTGCGGCCACTGTCAGGGCCGTGGGCTGGGATGCAGTAGAGCAGGTAGGCATGCGTCTCTCCAGCAACCCCTTCCCTTTGGTTCCCTGTGGGGAAAAACCCCTGCACTTGTCGGCTCTCCGGCTTTAGACTATCACACCGTCTGTGTTAAACTTTTGCTTGCCTACCCCACCCTGACCCAGGGCTGGGCTGTATAAACTGTTTGCCCAGGCTGGGCCCTTGACTTTTAGTCTGCGGCACTGCCTGAACTGAAGGCCAGGCCTGGTAAGCCACCTCTCTGTCTACTGGGAGGCTTGGACCCTTAACTATTTACAGATTAAGACACAGCAACTGTCCTTTAACTAGACAGTAAAGGGGGTCAGCATAGCCTCCTGCTGACGTGGACCCCTCACAGTGTCCATAAAATACCCTAGGAAGAATAGTTTGTTGATCAAACCTATGTATATTCCATCCATGCTAGTACTTTATGGTCCACTCATTACTTATGTTCCGCCACTAATACACACTTCCTCGAAGAATTTTATTGAAACATCAAAATTCAACAGAATGCAAGGGCAGGTCACCTGTAGAAGGCTGAATTTAAAATACTGATAACCTTGCATGCCCTGATACAGCAATTTTGTTTCTAGCAGTATAGCACAGTGCCTAGTGATCCTTTTCCCCAATGCCTGGACTAGCATCCTGGTCGTTCTCGAGTCCCTCCTTGTGAGAGAGAAACAGAGACACTCAGTAATATTTAGACTAGATTTTTGAATTTCTGAATGTTATACTTGTCAAGTTATAATATTCTATTAGTAGGTGAATTAGCAATATTCATTATTGCACAATTTTTTAAATTCAGACTATAGATACCCTTTCAGCATGTAACTATCCTGCTGACAATAATACTCCATTTCCAAAAGCAAACATCTATAACCCCCTACAGAAGCCTGGCTGACACAAGGATTGTATTTGCCCAATCCTATTCCTTCCCTATGCACATTTTGGGCAAAATTCACCACTGGGGTAAATGGATGCAAGTTTATTGGTTTCACTAGTGTTGAAATAACTGAACATTGCAAGAACTTACAGTTTCTGTGTCTGGGACTTTGTGGGGCTGCAATCCGAATTCCAATTTTTTAACCTTTACTCCAAAAACTTCTTTACTAAAAATTTCATAAATACCTAAAATGAAATGAAGATCAATTACATGGTGCACAAAAGGCTGCTGGAAAGAGAATGATTCAAAATTTAGATTCTCACATTTTCCATTAAAAGCTGCTATGCGAGGTTGATATTTTTGCAATTTCTGCATCAGAATTCGTCCTCCTTCTCGAAACTCTTTGCTAAATGAGAAAAAATTGCATTCAAGATTAAGAACTTGGCTGCTATTCATTGTTTATGTATGGTACTATCCTGCTTTCTCCTACCTGGAGAGGTCTTTGCTACCTGGTGTTGTTCTTTCCACCATATTTGTAAATCCAATACCATATTTTTGTGGTAAAGTGTGGTCATCCATATGGTTCAATTGTTCCTGACTCAGCCCAGACATAAAGAGACACTTCCCTGTGTAGACAAAATACTCATATTATGCATTCTGAAATAAAGATGCCAAAATAGTCTAATAAATATTTTAAGGAGATATTGAATATGAAAGTTATTTTAAAAAAGTGACTGCTCATTATATAGCATTGGAATGCTAACAAGAATACTCCATGTTAAGCAAACTACATTTATTTCAGGAGATAACGGCCTTGTCTACATTTAAAGATTGCCAATAGGAGTATGGTTTCTGTATGCTTTAAGATAAAAAAAAAATCCTTGTTGAAAAATATAATGCCACCACTGGATTCTTTGTTTCCATAAACAGGGCTTTGTTCCTAAAAGTTAAATTTGGAGCTTTAATTTTCTGAAAAGTAAAAATGGAACAACTGTAATCAATATCTATTTCCACATTATTCCATTCAATTCCTCTTGTGAAGCCCAGGACCACAAAATTAACATTAGAAACCTTATCCTATGTATGGACAATTCACTGTGATGCTGGAGAGAACATATTTTCAGCAATGTGTCTTTTCCGGCAAGAGCTATATAAAAATAGCCCCCTCAAAACAAAAACAACCCACCAACAGAAGTCCCCACAAAAATCCCAAATGACACACCACTACAGACTAGCAGAAGTTCAAAACAAATAGCATAAAAAGAAAGTAATACTGGTCAAGAAAATCAAGTTAGAGGGTTAGTTAGATTTTCTCCCCCTACTTAAACACCCACATAAACTACCATCATTTCAGAGTTGTTTTCCCTCCCATATATTTTTCGGTATGGCCATTGTTAGTCTAGTCTAATTTACTACTTTATCCTGTCATCACTTCTTTTTGTATGGGACATGGACTGTTTGAATTTTAATAAGTAGATTAAATTATTATTGTACTGGAATCATGTTGTGCGCTGTACCTTGTCATGGAGCTCTTCACCATAAAGCAAGCACATTCCCTTTTTTCCTACTTTAAAGTTTTTATCTTACAGATTTCAGTACTGTACTATTTCTGACTTTCCCCAGATTCTGGATGTAACATGGAAAGTTTACAGAGAGACAAATAAAACCTGTTATTTTAAACAAACATTTTCCTACAACAAATTGGTTTTATAAGCATGCACTCAACATTTGGACGGATTCATGGTAAACTACACATTACATAAAGAGCGTATTGTTATGCTGGCAAGTTAGATGTCAACTTTCACCCAGGTTGCACACATTAGCTAAGATGTGACAACCTCATAGTTGGGGGCTAGACTAGGTCACCCATGTTAGTTTTGCTCAAAACAGGATTTAGTCTTATAAGACTGTATTTAGTGTTTAGACTAAGAAATGCTTGTATGCAGCTGCATGCATTAATCTCAGGCTATTAAAGCGCTGCCCTGACTACATGGTCACATGACAGTGTGGTCAGTCTGTGACTCCATGTTAAGATTCTTGTAGTAATCCAGGAATTCACATTTGTTACTGGCTTATGAAGTCTAATTATAGAACATACAGGTTGAACCTCCCAAATCCAGAACTTTTTGGTCTGGCAGGGCCATTGATGTTGCTTGACCAAAGAGCACTGAAGGCAGCGGTGGGAGACCACATGGGGGCTTTGGAGAGCTCGGACTGGACTAGCAGTGGCTCGGGAGCCCCGACCTAGCTGGGGAACCCCCGATGTCAATGGAACCAGTCGGGTAGTCGACTAGTTGCTTACATCCCTATACTGAACCAGAGAATTTGTTGGACCACAGGAAGTCAATATTGTCTAGCAGCATTACCAACACTTCCACTGCTTACTGGATTCAGACATTTTGGATAAATAGAGCTAAATGACAGCACAGAACACCGAAAGCCAGGACTGATGGCTGCAAACAAACTTTATGGGACGGCAGGAAACCTTGCCACACCCGTGATAAACTGACACCCAGCTAACTAAAATCATGCCGGACCACAGATGTTGCTGGACCAAAGTGTACCAGACTAGAGAGGTTCAACCTGTATGAGTCATTTACAGATAATGCTGAGTGGTTAAAAAAAATGAAAATACAAATAGCCTTGTTTAAAATGTAACTGACACATTTCCTCAAATCCCAATAAAAAGGAAAAAAAACACTTACAAAAATGGTTTCCAGGTCCAGGATAATGATGCCCTTTGTAGGCTGCCATTAAACCCGGATTTATGCCAATCTACAGAGCAAAACATTAGTAAATTATAGCTTCAAAAACATAATTGATGATGAAGGGAAAAAGGAATGATCAAAACTGATCTAATTACTTGCAAATCTTACTTTGTAGTGTGTTTGTCAAACCTATTAATCACAGCTCAATTAACAACAAGTTTTCAATTAAGATCTCAGTTTATAGATCTAATGTCTAGCACTATCAACATATTTTACAGTAGCTGGTGTAGTACTTTGGGGAAAAACAATAAGGAAAGAACACTGAATAATAGTATGAACAGTTTTTGCCTTCTTTGTATTTAAATTTAAGATTTTTCATAAACTAGAATGCTATTACTATAATCCTTAACAGAAAGAGTGAAGCTTACTGTTCACAAACAACTTGGAGGTTACTTTATCCTGTGAACTCATCATGAAAATACTTGATGAACAGTAAAGTTGGTCATAATTAAGAGTTACCGACTTCAAAATGTTAAAAATGTAAGTGTGCGTAACTTACAATTACAATATCCAGATTGAAGGTCAAAATATCAGGAAGTGTCTTGGTCAAAAGTTCAGCTTCAGACACACCATTAAAACGGTCCACTTTTCTTTTGACTTTGAATGCATCTGTGATCTTCTCTTGTTTGCCTTTTGATTTAGTTGATTTAGCTGCTTTAGCAGCTGATTTTTTGGGCTCTGTTGATTTGGTTTTTCTCTTCCTTCCCTTTGTAACTTCTGGAACACAAAGTAATATATTCCTTTTGCAGTTTTCTAAAACCGTAGAAGAATTGTTTTTACTACTATTGATGTCAAATGTTAATACAAAGTTTTAGTCAAATTACAACTTGCCTACTAAAACCGTTCTCATCCTCCAAATATTTATGCAAAATAACCCTTGTATGAAAACAACTTTCATCTGAAACTCTTCATTAGCCTATGTCAGTAAGTGAAGTCAAGGACTTTAGATTCATACTAACAGACTAGTGGGCATAGTTTGCATTGACAGTTATTGGACACTTAAAATGAGGGGTTTTGGTTGCTAGTGATGAAAATGTAGACTCATTGTTAAAGGGAATGCGCTTAGATGGGAATATCACTGTTGATAGGATCACCTAAATCAAAACTAGAGTTTTGGCTTAATGAATATCACACACAAAGAGGGTTACTTTATATAAAATGTAGATGTTCAATAAAAGTCCACATGCAAGTTCCCTACCATATTTCCAAATTAGCTATGCCTATTACTACTACTTTGGCCACCTTTTTAGTCACAGTCATAGTAAATAGAAGTTTTTCATATTTCCTTTTGTGCTTAGCTGACCCTATCTTGTCTCACTAACTCACGTTGGCAACCTATGGCTCTACAGGGAGCCAAATATGGCTCTTCTGGAGCCCCAACACAGCCCCTCCACTTTGCTCTCCCTCCAGCAGGGAGCCCGCACTGGCATTACAACTTTACAGCCTCTTGCAAGACTGGAGTGTCAGCACTGGCTTCTGGGGGGAGAGAAAGCCCCAAGGCTCTGCACTGGATCTGGCATGCAGGGAACAGATGGAGCAAAAAAAGTCTCAGTGCATTGCTCTTTTCCTTCCCTCTGCATGCGGGAAACAAGCCGCTAAAATGGCTCCATGCACACTGCCCTTTTTTGTGCCTCCGGGAAACACTTCCTTGAAGGTTTCCCTTGCAAATCCTTCCTGGAGACTTCCAGGGAATGGGAGCAGCAGGCATGTTAAACGGTGCCTGCCATGCAGTGTGGAAACAAGTGCCCCCCCTCCCCA